GGGAAGAGATTCCTTTCCTCTGCAAATTTAGTGGCCCGCTTGAGGATAACGTGCTCGGCGACCTTCCCTACACATGAAGTGAGAGATATCGGCCGGAGCGAGCCAGGCTCCAGGGGTTTCCTTGGCTTCGGAATGAGGATGACGGTCGCGTCACGCCACTCTATTGGAACCTCGCCGGTTTCCCACACCTCGTTGATTTTATTCTTTAGAAGCTCGATATCCTCGTCAGGTAAATTCTTTAACAGTTTGTTACTGATCCCATCGGGACCCGGAGCTGATCTGCCGTTGAGCTCATATAGAACCTCTCGTACCTCTGCGCACGTGAAGGGGGAACTAAGAGGGTCTGTTCCGTTCTCTGGCAAAGCAGGAGGGTAGTCATTGTGTGAGGCGGGTTCCGTGCAAAGATATCTCGAGGCGAGCTCATCGATAATATGTGTCTCTGTCAGACCAGAGTTCTTTAGGTTGTGGATAAGTCTGTCAATTGTAAGCTGCTGATTGGTTTTGTATTGTTTATCTCCCAGTAGATGTTTGAGGAGGTTCCACTTCGCACCACTCCTCATTTGCACGTCGACGGCATCGCATACTTCGTCGCATTGCTGTCGAGCTAGCGTTTCACTATGCTCATCTATCTGCCTATTAACTTCAGAAATGTTTTTGCGTAGGCATCGGTTTAGTTTCTGCGTTTTCCATTGAGCCTGCAGCGCGTTTTTAGCCTTCAGAAGGTGGGCTAATCGACTGTCCATGCGCTCAATCTCTCTTTCTGTCTTCACTTCCTTTGTGGAAGCAGCAACGTCTTCTTTTAGGCGAGTGATTAATTCGTTTAACAAGTTGTATTTATTCTCGTCTTGCTTTCTGATAGCTCTAAAAAAATCCCAATCTGTGACGTGAAATTTTCTGAGCGGTGGTGACGAGATTCTTATTGCGAGGCTGGTAATGTACTGATCACTACTAAGTTCCTTCTTGGTGCGCGGTGGTACCAACCGAACTGAACCGACATTATGCCCCAGGTAATGTATGTGGGATTGCGCAATCTGACACTTCTCTGGGCTGGCTTTCCGTCCCGCCTTCTCTAAGACCTTAAGAATAAGGTCGAGATGCTTTAAGTGCTCCTCCCAAGTGCTAGAAAAAATAGCAATATCATCTAGGTATGCCGTGGCATACACTTGATGTTGCGACAAGATTTTATTTATTCACCGTTCTTTGAAAGGTTGGCGCGGAATTTTTCTGCCCGAAAGGCATCACTTTCCATGCGTACTGACCTTCATGCGTTACAAATGCGGTGAATTTCTGACTCTTTTCTTCCATCGGTATCTGCCAGTATCCGAGCCTAAGGTCCACTACCGTAATGAACTGCGCTCTGCCTACTCCGAAAATCAATTCCTGAGGATTCATCATAGGGAACGCATCCACTTTGGTGACGGCATTTAACGCTCTGTAGTCCACACACATGCGGATAGTCCCATCTTTTTTTCCGATGCATACTACCGGGTGTGCAAACTCACTCTCCGTGGGGTAGATCAACACCACCTAGATAAGTTCAGGCAGGCCTCTTCACTGCCTCCGTGACGTCACGCACCTGGCCCGTCGACGCGCGCGCGCGCGAGCCGCTGCGGCGCGGATGCTTCCCGCGCGGCGCCCACTACAGATGAGTGAAACATTAATTTCTGCATTGCCGCGATATAGGCATAGAATATAAAATTTCTGAACGAACGTTATTTCACATCAAGATGAAATAGTGCTGTTCCGCTCCATCTTGGCGGACGTAACTGCTTCAGATTGCACTTAAAAGAAACGTACACAAGTCCCGGGCACCTGGCAAAATATTTATTACGATGTAAGTACCATGTATCACAAGGAACATACGAACTTCCAGCCTTTAGCAGTCATATTGACATCTATGACTACATTGTGCAACACAAAAACCGAAACTGACAAGATTAAGGGGGGAGGTGGCTTTGAAAAAAAACTTTTTTATTTGTTGACCTACAGCAATGAAATTTGGCATGCATACTCATAAGTGTCTAGAATAGGGAAATATGCAGTTTCATCATGATAGCTTCAGTAGTTTTCAAGTTACATAATGCTACACGATCCAATTACATGGTCTGCTCGTGGAAAGCCTAGCGCTGCAACAAAACATGCCAGGAAGCTGCGAATAATGTTGATCTTTACTCAAAAGAAAGCTACAGGGTATGACACTCTCGGAATTTTTTAATAAGTTCTCGTTTTTTTTTAGAGATCATCATGGCTGCCGACACACATTGTCAGAAACAATGGCACGGACAAATCATCGTCTAGAAAAATAACAGGGCCACAAAATAGAAATTGAAGATTGCTGTACCCACAAGCAGTGTTCAGGGATTCAGGGAAAAAAAACAGAATCAAAATCGGTCCAGTCATTCTCGTGCTACTCTTTCCACGAGCAATGCACAATGTCCAAAACACACTTGTGAGAAAAAGCCTGTCGAAGTTTTCGACAGGCTTTTTTTCAAGGAACTTTTTTGTTTCTCGTTGGATATTGATGAAAATTGGCACAGACACTAAGAATAACCTCACAGTGCTTTCATAAAAATTTTGAAGCGATACCACAAATACTTTACGAGAAACAAATTATTTCTTCACTGAACCATGTGGAGGGGCTAAGCATAATGTCAAAAAAAAAAAAAAACAGTATTGAGAAAGCTGCGTTTAAAGTTTCAACTTTTCTTTACGTCTCTAAGACACCTAAAAATTGTGATCTCAGGTTTGTCTTGTGATATTTGACTTCTTTTCATGATTTACTCCTTTTCATGAGTTACAAAGAACAAGTATGAATTTCAAACCAAGTTCTTTGTATGAAGGAGTGGTGTGATAAGTATGACAGAAAAGATTTTAATTGAATAAAACCATATACTGAAATTATTAAACATACTTTTTTGTGCTTGTGCTGAAGTTGTAATTAGCGTAATTAAGTACTTGATTACAAATATTCACTGAACTTTTTTTTATTTGGAGAGAAGTTTATTGCATCAGAAAAATGGATCACACCATGACGGCCTATGCCTTCTTTCCAAATAACAAAGTTATGGGCAGAAGACTGGTGGCACGGGAATTTCTAGCAGTATAATTAATGACACGAAACGGGCATATAAAAATTCGTGCCCCTGATTCACACATGCTCTTTCGCCGCTCTAGCCGTGAAACGTATCATCATACAGCCGGTCGCGGAAATTCTAATCTACAGCAATTCATTAACCCCGGAACATTCATAGACGTTCGTGGAGATATCAAACACGGCTCCAAGCACGTCTGAATCGCATCACTAAAGCTTACTGACGGCACTCCATATGACCGTGGGGTGCGCGGCCGCGTGGACAGTGCAGCCGGCGCGTAATGCACTTGCCGGCGGCGTTCGATGACGATCCGCGAAATGAGTAACTACGAAGACAAAAAATCGGCACGCACTGCACTTGGCATCGCATTTTCGAATGACGACGCGCGAAACTGCTAGCCGCTGTTCCGAGCGATCCTTGGCAGTGAAGGGGGGGGGGGGGGGGGGGGGGGGGTGACGAGCTTGACTGTGTTGTCCGCTGCCGATGCGTAAAATGCCCGTACAATATTCGGAGGAGCTAGCGAGTGATGTGGTACATTCCTTGCGAAGAAGCATGTCACCAAGAGTGCGCTTGCGCGTCGTTCCTGCCCGCAGTCTCGCTGTCAGCGGAGTTAGGCCTAAAGCCGACTCCGATGACGCGCCGCACTCGCAGACCGCCGCGCGCCCGCTCGTAGTAATCTGATCGTGCATCCGGTGCGGCCACTCGTAGTAATCAGATCGTGCCGCCGCTTACAGCTTCGTTGCTTGCGAAGAAACACGTCGCCACGAATGCGCTAGCGGGTCGTTCCTGCCCGCAGTCGGCGGAGTTAGGGCTAAAGACGACTTCAATGACGCGCGGCGCTCGTAGACCGCGCTGACGCTCGTAGTAACCTGATCGCGCATCCGCTTACTGCTCGTAACTAAAGCGTAGTTATATCTTAAGTGATTATCAAGCCGTGAACACGTCACGAAGTGGCGATTTTCGAGAGCCATGTCCTCGCGACGCACAAGCAGCAGACGACGATCTCCCGGAGCGAGCATCGGGCCAATGGCGAGGCGAGCTGAGGCAACATGGCGGCCACGGCCAATCAAGGGCCTCGAAACGACCTTCAAACATTTGCTTTTTGCTCGCTTGTTGTTAAAGGGAGGAGCCAGCTGAGGCGGGAAAGTTAAACACGGAAAAATGCTCTTTCCGATGAGCCCAAGAAGCCGGCTCCCGGCCCAAGCATAGCGAAGCTATTATTTTTTGAAAATCGCCGTTTTCTCGCCATTTCCAGAAATATTTTTGCTACCTAGGTGGGTGAAACGAATTTTCCGAAGCACTTATGCGCGGTTTTCAGTGTAGATATTTTGGAACCAGATAGAAAAAGGGTTCCAGAAACTGAAAACTTGAGTTTCAAAAAATTGATTTTTTTGCCATTTTTCGCGATCCCAAAGCCGCGTCCCCCCTTAAGCAAAAAAAAAAAAAACAAGGCGCTAGATTATTCGTTATAATGTTTCAAAATTTATCACAGTGAAAAACTTTTAGCATCTGGTACAGTCATATTCACAGCCATAATCACATTATGGGGCAAACAGAAAAACACAACTGCTATTAGAACGAAAGAAACTAGCTACTGGAGTATTTATTACAATGTATAAAGTGTATCACAATGACACAAAGCTGTTAAAAACTTTCAACACCAATTTCACATTTTGACGCTCTAGGTGGCTTGGATAAAGTGCTTTATAGCTCAGACCATAGGCAACCTTTGCAAGCTTGCTTTGTTCACTCTGGTACAGCTTCCTCAAAAAAGTAAACGAAGCTTTTTGGTCCTCACCACTTCCACAGCTTTCAAAAGGAGGATACAAAAACGACTTGTCATCATCCTTCTGATTGAGCCAATTGTTGCGTATACACTTGAGCAAGCGAACAGTGTCCACAACATGAAACAATGGCTGCTGCGGGTTGGCAGGATGAGGAAAAACAATCCCTGGCTCATTTTGCTCGCTAAACAGAGACATCATTTTCCTGTTTATGGCATTGTTGTCTGTTACGACCGCAACAACATGCAGACCAGCACTTTCAAGCCTCATGATTAGTGTCTTTAGAACATCATGCAGCTCCGTTGCTGTGATACGAGTTACCGGAAGGATATGAGCAACATCTTTATAAGATGAAAGCAAAGACTGTACCATGAACATGTGCGCTGTCTTTGCTGGTTCCGCACAATGCGCAGCAAACCCTGTTAGGCAGCCACCTTTATATTCAAAAAACTGTTGCAGGTGTATTTCATCAAGCATGACAGTCACATTTTTTTCATGAGCTTCAGAATGGTTGCTCTGCGCTTAATGTACCTCAGAAAACCTTCTTCGCACTGCTCTTTCGATGGGCTCACATCATGTGCAGCACAAACTCGCTTGATGGTAGTGTCATGCGGCAAGACAAGCTTGTTGCTGTGGCGAAAAAACTTGTAAGCATGTGGAGAAATTGTGTGCAATATACTGCTAAAAACTAAAAGCTCTGCAGAATACCGCACGCCATTACTCTTCTTTGTCAGCAGCTTGCACTGCTCCTTCAGGAAGATTAGTGCGTCAGCCCTCTCATCATCATGCAGCTCATCATCACAAATGTCATCCAGCAAGGATAAAACAAGCCTAAGCACTCCTCCCACCTTGTCCTCCTGTTGACGGGCCTTCTTTTCACAATATCGCTCCACGCTGTCTAGAAGGTTGTCCAGCACACGGACATCACGGACTTCGTCAGGAATGCACACATCATCCGACACCAACGGAGCGCACTTAAAATACACGGAAACGGACAGATCCTCTGTAACCACCACAGATACAAGCATCTTGGAGCTTGCAACGCCGGTTCGATGTGGGCGACGATGAGGCACGTCTCGCAGGCTGTTGTACACCAAAGCTTCTTATTTGGACGCTCGTTAACCCGAGAAATCAGTTCACCCAGATTACAAACTTTGTACTGTTTTTCTTCTTTTTCAAACGCTGCTTGGGACTCGTGTATGGCTTTCTGGAGTAGCTCATTTTCAGTCCGCTTCCTTTTCAGTTCAGGCTCTTCTCGCGACGTGCGCGAATCCGAGATATACGAAGGGCAGTCTGAAAAAATGGCTGGGAAGGCGTCTGGAGTCAGCCGTGTCAACTTCATAGGAGCTTCAATGGTTCGTCCATCGCAGTCCGTATACGTTGACGTTGTGCGCAGGTGTTCCGACTTGAAGTGACGCTCGCAAACCTGCGCGTGACCGGAACAAAAAAAAAAACACCAATTAGAATCTCCTGGGATAATTACGAGAAATCTCGTTAATTCTGAAGGGGTACGCTCGATGCAGCTTACCTTGGGGTCCTTCAACAGCCTCACGTCGCTCCGTCGCACAGCCCGCTGCCATTCCGCTCTTCGCTTAGCGTCTCTCGGAAAAGAGAACAAGCGGACTTTCGGACCATTGTCATAGTTCCCTCGACAGTTGGGTACACAACACCGCCCCATGTCTCAGGATACATTCGTCAACAAAATAAATTCGGCGGAAGCGGTAACTGCAACACGGAACAGCGTGCACGGCGTGGCCGCGTGGTCTCGTTCAACGACAGAGTGAAATAATTGTCACGGCTGCCGCCACCTGTCGGAGACTCGGACAACTTACGGCTCTGCCGCAAAGCTACGGGCTACCACGGTGCTCGCTCTCTCGAGAGAGGTCGCCCTCCTCCTTGCCTGTCAACATGCCCGGACACGCCGAAACGCTGCTGGTACGGCGTGAGCTAGGTGGTGTTGGCGTGAGAGGCTCGGGCAAAGTTGAATGACGTCACACGAAGGCGCGCCGGAGTGAAGAGGCCTGAACTCATTTAGGTGGCGTTGGGTAGATCAACTTCCAAGTCAAAAGTTCGTCAACTTGCCGGCTGACTTCTTTCTTTAATAGTTCCGGCACCCGATACAGAAACGCCTTTTTTGGCTGGTGACCCAGTTCTATTTCTATCTTATGTTCATCTACCTTTGCTATACCCGGAGTGCCGTCAAAGAGGGTGCAATGTCTTTAAAGCACCGCCTGTATTTTCGCCTGCGCGTCAGCATCAAGGTGAGCAACCTTTTCGCTCGTTACCACTAGCTTTTCCCGCTTCACAGTGGTTGGCCGTGGGGCATATTCCACCTACCCAAAATCATGGTCCTCATCGAAAACGACCCCAATCTGACTGACTCTTGCATAGTAAGGTCGAATGTTGTTGGCGTGGACACTTTTCAGCTTTCCCTCAGATGTTTCAACGCGGTAAGAATGTTCGCGCTCACGTCCAACCACTGTGAATGGGCCTAGCCATTTAGGTGACATTTTACCACTTCGATCATTGTCGAAAACCACAACTTGGTCGCCCACGTTAAAAGCTTTGAGCCTGCTGCTGCGATTATAAGCACTGGCGTAACTCTCCTGATGAGTTGCACTAGTTAGCTCAGCTATATTAGCGGCCGTCTCGAGCTGCTCCTTAAGTTGCTGTAAATACTTAGCGGGGTTTTCTCTTAATGTTGCGGGCACCGGCATTTCTCCCGTCCAAGTCTTCTGCAGTATTAGAAGCGGTCCCGTGGGATTCCTTTTATACAATAGACGAAACGGAGCTACTCCGGTTACCTCATGGGGGACTTCCCGATAAGCCCATAAAACCATTGGGATCAATTTGTCCCAATTCTCGAAGTCTCTTTGAATGACATGATACAACATGTTTTTGAGTACTCGGTTCCACCTTTCTACAACTCCATTACTCTCTGGGTGTTCTGGGGTTGAAAATCTTGGCATGCAACCTAATTTCTCCAGCATCGTTTGCGTGAGCTGCGATTTGAAATTAGTGCCCTGATCGGAGCAGATCATCTCCGGAACGCCTGTGCAACTGAATATCTCAATCAGTGCATCACAAGTCCCCTTAGCTGTAAAGAGCGCAGTGGGATCACCTCTGGCCACCTCGTGCAAAGATCCACTAAGCACAGCGCATACTTTTTCCCTCTCGCTGACGGTGTGTCTAGGGGTCCGATCACATCTACATTGACAACTTGGAAAGGGTGGTCAGGTCTAGTGAGCGGAGTTATAGGCACTTTATCCGTGCGACGCTTGTCTGAACGAATTTGACATTCATGGCACGAACGACAATGCTCTAATATCTCCTTCGCCATACCCGGCCAAAAAAAATTATATCTAATGCGAGCTCTTGTTTTCTTTGACCCTAGGTGCCCCCCGCATAGTGACTCGTGTGCTAAGTGCATCACCTCAGTGCGCTTATCTTTGGAGACAACTAGCTGACTCACTCGAGTGCCTGCTATTGAGTCGCAGTGGTATAATAGTCCGTCTGAAATGAACATGCCAGATTTCCCACTACGCGCATCTTCCCAACATTTCTTTAGCGTAGTGTCGCCCCACTGCACATTGCGGAACTCTACTCTTTGGCCTAATGACGCCTCCCTTTCTTCATCAGTTTGCGCCTCTTCCCCGGAATCATCTTTCTCCTCCAAGGTAAGATTGCAGGCAACTACCTTTTGTTTTTCTACTGCTTGTTCCGCCTCGTGAGCAGGCTCGGCCGGCGCTCGACAGGGTGCCAGAGGGCTGCTGGCCTTCAACAAAAGTTTCCAATCGTCCTTGGTCAACAAACAATCTGTGCTTTCAACGAGCTCATCAGTTAACGCGCAGAGTAGGTCGACGTTCTGAGGCTCCGTAACCTCTCGCGGGCTGTTTAATTTGACCGGCAACATAGCTAGCCTTGCCTCGATAGTATTACCGAAAGCGGACACCAAGCTTACCGTGCCAGACGGCTCTACAACACTTCGCGGAAGCAGACTCTCCCGGATGACGGTTATCTCACTCCCCGTATCCAAAATCGCATCTGCGGATATGCCTGCACATGATACAGGAATTAACTGCAGTTTATCTGTGCCTTCACCCTCGTGTTTCAGAGACTTCACCTTTGCGCTAAGTACTCCAGTAGGTATTTCAGTATCCGTCTCGTGGGATAACGTTACCTTTTGAACCTTCCGCTTTGGCTCGGTAGCCTTCTTGGGGTTGTTCTTCTTATCACTAGCCTTCGGGCACTCTTTAGCGAAATGGCCTGAGCCGTGACATAAGTGGCATTTCAGAGCCCCTTTCTCAACTCATGTCGCCTGCTTCTGCCCCATTTCTACAGTTGGTTGCCTTGAAGCACACCCTTTCCCTTTCGCCTGTTCGAAAGTTTGGAGCACTTTCGCGATCTCAGTTGACCTAAGCCATCCCTCGCCTTCCCTTAACCTCACATACTCGAGACCCTCCGTACTAAGGCCCGATTTTATGCGGTCAGCAACCGATGAGTTCTGCCATCACTTCTACCGTGTCGGCTTCTCTCACTTGGAGGTAGTATGAGAAATAAGTTTTCACGCGGGACGCGAACTGCGCCCACGTCTCTTCCTTACGCTTTACTGCTCTTTCGAACCTCTGCAGGTACTCTGCCGGAGAAAGCTTCAGTTCCGTCAGCACTGCTGCTTTAACTGACTCATAGTCTGCACTCTCTTCAGGGTTGAGGTTACGCAGTAGGTAACGGACTCGCTCAGTTAGCGCTGGTATAACCAAATGCACGCAGCTCTCGTGCGGTACCTGGTAAGTAGCAAAAAGTTTTTCTACTTCCTCAAACCATAATGGGACGTCCGCGTCACTCGGCAGGCGGAACCCTTTTAGCACTTTTGCACATTGCTGAACAGAATCGAAACCCCGGCGCCTCTAATCACCCGTCTCCGACCCAGAGTTGGACAACGTGCCGTTGAGACGTTCCGCGTTCATTCTAGCCTGCAATAGCTTTTCGTACTGAATCTGAAGATTGAGCTTTTGAATTTCAAGCTCGAGCGTTCGGGGCTGGGGAAAGTCTCGGATAGCTGCCACTTTCATTTCAGAGGGACGGCGATGCCCTCGACCGATAACTTGCCCGAGATAGAGTACCTCTGCTTGTGCTAGCTGACACTTGGGCGCCTTTACCGTTAAACCTGCTTCGCGTAGGCGTGTCAGTACTGCTCTCAAATGCGCCAAGTGTTCTGGCTAGGACGAGGAAAACACGGCGACGTCGTCCAAGTAAGGCAATGCAAAGTCCTCTTGACCCCGCAAAACCTTATCCATTAAGTTTGAAAAACAGTAAGGCACGTTCTTTAGGCCGAAACTCAACACTTTAGGGCGGAATGTCCTCAATGGTGAAATAAATGCAGCATACCGGCTCGCCCTCTCGGTGAGCGGCACCTGCCAGTAACCTCTCACTAGGTCTAGCGTTGAGATGAATTCCGCGCTGCTTACCCTTCCGACGCGTTCCTCAATGTGGGGAATTGGGTATGTCTGATCCTTGGTGATGAGGTTTAACTTACGATAGTCTACGCAAGGACGCGGATCTTTGCCGGGTGCCTCCACAAGAATTAACGGGGAAGTGTAATCACTTTCACACGGCTCAATCACGCCCAATTCTAGCATCCTGTTAACCTCTGCTTTTATTAGCTCAAGCCGGCGAGGTGACACCCGATACGTCTTAGATCTTACCGGTTCCGACGAGGTAAGCTCTATGTCATGAGTGAGGACGGATGTCCGGCCTGGCTCGCTTACAAATCTGTCCTGAAACTCGGTCAAAAGACCACGCAATTCCTGCTTCTGCTTCATTGTGAGCTGTAACTTTGATACTAAATCCTCTACTCTTTTCTCGTTCGGGACTTCGTCCGATTCGGGAGCTAATTCAGAAATTTCTGCCGGAACCTCTTCCGGAACATTTAAAGTCATGTTCACGATGGCTTCCCTCTCTTTATAGGGCTTGAGTAAGTTGCTATGATACACCTGGTGTACCTTACGACTTCCTGGTAATTTTACCA